TCTTGTAGCTCTTGTATGAAGTCATCCAGGGGTCCTGACCACCCTGTTGACTTTTCCCCAATAAAAGCCATTACACTCATTGTCCACTAGCTTACAAACAAGAAACCCACAGTGGCCGATTATGTGGTTGTGGTATTACAAGGTGGCTACAATAGAGCGATACTTCGTCTACAACAGTTTGATTAGGTCACCAAGTTCACCACAAACTTCCTTGCAAGGAGGATATTGCTAATGAAAAGGATGAGCTCCCAGACTATGTTCGCTTCAGACTGACGTGTTTTTTAAATACTTGTTGACTCTAAGTGTGGTTCTATGATTTATTTGTACTGACTTTCAGCCGACTGGCATAGCTTTGCAGTTCGAAAAAAAGGGGGGATTTTTTTCTTACCGCTCTGGTTGAATTCTCAGCCTGTGCCAATTTTGCCCTTTAGTCCAATGAGCTGTAGGTAGAAGCTACCAAGTTGTAGTCTTAACACACTGCTCTGTACACTAGAGGCAATGGAGGAATCAGGCTTCTGTGCTGTTCAGCAGTTTTGTCAATGTGGCTAGGTATGTTGCTGCCAAATAAACGCTCTCCTTGCCTCCTGCCAGTAGTGATTTATGGCCGAATACATCCTTGCCCTGTCCACTTCATCCCCAAAGAAAAATAATTTTCCAATTGAGCAGAACTTAGGCCTTGACGACCGACTCAACATGGGGATAGAGAGGCAGAATATTTTATTGGCATTGGCATCTGGATGAATGATGCATACCTCAATCTCATGGGCCTGATGGACTGATAGACCTTAGAGGCACAGATTCTTTTCCCTTCTCTTTTTCATGTACAAGACAGGGGATGCAATTTGATGAGAAAGCTACAGTGTAATTATAGATTTATGTTGAAGGCAGGGCATATTTATAACCAGCAGGCCAAATGTATTTTGTGTCAGAGGAAGGACACAAGTTGTTAGAGGCTGTAAAGTATTACCGCATTTATTATTATATCTTTATGTGGAGCTGCTTTTCTAACCAAGCACTGGGACATGGTACATGCTCTATATGTATTGATTGATTATGTGGTTTATATATGTTGTCAAGCTGTTTTGCTGCATATATCCAACATTTCTAAAGTCAAGTCAGGTAGTGTATTTGCCCTCCCTCGACATTGAATGTATATTCGATGTAAGCTTTAATCACAATTTGCAACATGTAATGTAAAAATTGAGCTCGTAGTTGACAAACCCTCAGAGAATTTTCAATTATCAAGTTTGCAGATTCACACAGCTCTGCAGATCCTTTTTGCTAGAAAGCTCCGATAACTGATCTGATCCACTGTTCATTAGTGTAGCTAGTAAGCTACTAGCTGGTGAACGCGGTTAAATATTAAGCCGCTAAAGAGCCAGATATTTTTCTCTGTAGTTTTTTGGGAGTAAAATGTCACTAGAAATAGAGTGAACATTGGAGTTCCATTTGTTAGGTGGACAGAAACACAGATCCAAATGCATTCTAATGTCACTCCATATCTGTTGTATGTGTAAAAAGGTGTTTCAAACTAATACTCAATAAAAATAAATAAATAAAATGAATAAATGGCAGCTTTAAAAACCAGCTTGAGTTTTCAACTGGAGGTTTAAAGCTGAAAGAAAAAAGAAACCAAGATTGGCTTGAGGGAAGCACAAGTACTAAGTGTGCAACATGGTAGATCTAATCCGTATGTCAAGAGACCAGTGCTGTTACTTTGCCTCTCTGCCTGCATGGTAAGAGTGTCAAGCTTTGCACCAGTATCTCATTAGGAGAAGGACAGCTGTGCAGAGGCGGACAGCCTGCTTCCAGAGACACCGGTTGAGTCACAGTAGGCCAACGACCAATCGGGGAACACTTGCTACATGCTGCATGACTCAGAGAGCCTCACACGCCGGCTCGCTCACAAATTCAGATACGGATGCTGTCTAATTCCTCATCAGCAAAGAAAGTTTTTCTGACAGTTAGAGGCAGAGAAGAAGCAGCTTGTATGCTGTCACTGCATCTGTTAGGGCTGTTACCAAGGTTGTTATCAGCCCTGGCAAGCGGGCTTCTGCTCGGGGAAATGTCCTCTGTTCCGGTTTTCTGGACTCCATAAACATCTTTGGAAGCCAAGCTCCACCAGGGTTGGAACTCGCGGGTTTGGGTTGCTTTGAGCCAAGTGCCCAGAGACTCCACTGAGCGGCTTTGATGGCAGTCTGTGTTGTGGAAATTGGTCTAGAGCTCTCAAAGCTCATTCTGTGTGTCCCCAGCTGTGGTGCTCTGCTTTGACCAACTCTTAGTTTTGTGCAGAAAAAACTCTTTTTTCACAGTTACCGAGACCAGCCCCGCCTCAGTGGAAGGTCTTTTAAAAACTGCTTAGGGTTTCCTTTTGAATACTAACTGCAACTGGTTGCTGCTGGCTCAGTGGCTCTGACACAAGAGGGCAATATGCAGGCTCTACTTCATGCTAGAGGGTAGGTTTTATAAGGCTAAACGTTTTAATGGATGAAAACATATTTGAGAAAATATTTGGGCCTCCAGCCAGGTATCTTATTAAGACAGCTAAGTAAGACAGCACAGCTTTCATCCTATCTGACAAATACATCAACCAGATATTTGTCCTGAACTTAGGTTACTTAGCTGTCTTTCATATTTCACCCAAAGGCCACCTAGAGCATCAAATATTCATACACTTGTTCTGCAAGCCACCAAAAATTTAAGGTAACATACAGCCTAAAAATAAGAGCCATAGTCATGTACTAACACCACAGACAATGTGGTGATACAGGCAGTGCTTGCTTTCCACATTAAGATGTATCAGGGGTGTCCATATTGCACAGACTCTCCAGCTTGACTCCTTAGCAGCAGCCACCTTCAACACAGCCTGCTGTTGGCAGCTGCCTCTGGGCAGGACCCCTTGGCCAATCAACTCCCCTCTGCCTGAAGGCAGGCCTCGGCCCTTCTCTCGCTCCACTACCTAGAACTGCAAGCCGGCCTGTCAATCACACCACTAGGCCCCACTGTGCTGCCTGACCCACTGGCACTCTTGCCATGGCAACACAAATCCCAGCAGACCTAGCTGTCAAGAACAGGAGTTCTCAGAAATATGAAAGACAAGAGTCTGTGATCCGGTGTACACGCATGGGGTTTGTGCCCGGACCAAGATGTCTCGGTCACATGAATGATTCATCCCTATGTGTTAGTCTTTTGATTTTTGTGAAATATAGTAATAATATTAATAAGCCCAAAAGAAACTTAAAATAAAGATCTCATAATCAAATCACCCCAAGAAAAATCTGCTTAAGCAAAATTTGTAATTTTGCTTGCTCAAAGGAGGCTAGGAGGAACACAGAGGGAAGCACTGTGTGAGCTCTCTTTAAAATCAAAGTGGCAAACAAGACTGTTATTTGTTCAGGGTAATAGTTTCTCCAAGCACCCTCAAACAATACTCAGCATAGAAATCAGCAGCAGTGCAGATGGAGTTCCTCCACGGTTGCCTTTTTTTTTCATATATAAATGCAGAGGAGAGATTATTTCAAATCTTGGCCAAACATTGGCCACAGTTATGCCGGTCTATTGACTGACCAATGGTGCTTTAAAATATAGGTTTGATTAAAAAACCTATATTCCATCTTCATCTTGCTGCCTAAAACTGTTTTTTGGCCTTTAGGGTCCAGTGAAATTTATAACAACACTGACAGCTGTGCACATTGCCTGTATTTGTTGTTTTTCGTCATTGAATTTGTTCCAAAAAATATGAGAGAAAAATCTAAAATGGAAAACTGGTGAAAAAGGATTTAACAAATTAAGAACAATGTTATTCCCAGTTTGTAGTTATTTTAACATTAAACTATGATATTATAATAAAGAGACATGAAAGGAAAAAACATTTGTGCTACCACTGTAGCTCAACATCAGTAATCATTTCTGGTGAAATTGCTCAATGTTCAATCTACTGCAGCACAATCAGCCATTAAGTAAAACTGTTATTGCTGGCTAGCATTTAACCGAAGATCTTGATCCATTTGTTAAAATATTCAGCTAACTCTTACAAAAGTGGTTTTCAAACTTGGGTCTGAGGACCAACAGGGGTGCTTGAGGGGGTTGTAGGACGTCCCCAGCAAAAAGAGAAATAGAATCTTGGATCACATTTTTTGGAATTTGGAATAACAATGGAAGAAATAGGGTTGGCTGTTTTGATTGATTGTGATTTATAAAGATCTTATTTTGGGTATTGATTGACTTTGGAGACGTTATTATTTTCAGACCTGAAAATGAGGAAAAATACTTAGAGGGGATTCTGGGAACCCCTGCCTAGCTTGTTTTGTGGAGTTCTTAAAGCTGCAGTCATTTACAAATTTTAGGTCACTAGCATGCAATGGAACTAAGACATAAACACACAAAAACATTAGACGTTACACTTTCTTTACCAGCTAGCTACAAAATGTTATATCTGCTGTACAGTAGGTCTTCAGCATCAGTAGGGAAGCTTTGGTACATACAACACTTTTGAAATAAAGAAAATATTTAAAAGAAAAAAATATAAAAATGGGAAATCATATAAATTAACAGAAACATCAGACTTTTTCATGTGTCATGAGGGGTTGTGGGTGGCTACTTGGAGTAATGGCCTCAGTAGTTTTAAAATCCTGGCTACAGCCCTCATTTGTTTCCTAGAACCTGCAACCCAGTGGTTCTTGTAGTCACTTTATGTTGATGTTGAAGTACTACTGTAGTAATGATATCAGTCTTTAAAAATGTTGGGGAACTACTAGTATTATATGCCAAGGTGAATTAAATGAAAATTAAAAATTAGCATCACAGAGCCCTCTTAATTGTTTGCTGTCCACACACAAACCATAATCAACCATAATTTCTTTCCACTTTTTTTCCCAGTTGGTCATCCATGCCACACTTGGCTCTGTGCCCCCCAGTGTCCACTGCATTAACCAGTCCTTTTCTGTAGTAGTGGCTTACTGCTCATTAAATGTCTCTCTCTCTGCTACCTTGTCTTACAGGTCATCCTGATCCTGACCAAGTACTACCACGCTGACTCCACCAAGGTGCTGGAGAGCTCGCTGTGGAGGTAGGCCAAACGTTTACACCATGTTTGCTCTCACTAGATGTCTTTATGTCATGTCTGGCCTTAGACTCACGCAGACCTTTCATCAGCAAGCAGCTTCCCTTTAACAGCGAGGTCAGTGCAGGTCTCGGTTATCTCTCTGCTGTGCTTCTTCAAGGAGACAAGAGTGATACGGAGTGCTGAGCGGACAAAACATCAGCAGGCAGCTACGAGTAAAGTGGGGGACCGGAGAGTGGCGCTGCGAGGCCAGAGCGGGCATCTGTTTGGGCAGATAGCATATCAGCATGGCACAGGGCAGGACGATGGGCACCGGCAGTGCCAGGGAGAGGGGTCAAGTCTGGCTGGCAGAGCTCCCTCTATTTAGCAAGGCTGTCTCTCGCCAAAAACACTTCACACTTGTCTCGCTTTTGAGCGGTGGAAAAACCAATGCATTCCGCTCAACTTCACAACAAGAGTATCGTGTTACTTACATATATTCTCATGGAATATTAATTTCCTCTTTATTCTAAATCCACTTCCTACCAGCTCCTGAGGTGCTGCTCTGTAGCTGAGCATGTCCTTCTCATAGATAAGAGTGTGGAGGAAACTTAATTATATTCAAATTTCCTCATAAAAACTTAGAAAATAGACAAGACAGGGCTCATAACACTGGCTAAAATTAGCCGTCTAGAAGGCATTCGCACAGAGCAAAACGTGTCTGATGGTGGTACTTAATTCATGCCATTCACCTCACTGAGGGCTCCATGACTTCAAAGCTTCAGCCGCTCATTAGCTCTGACTGCCTGTCTCCCTGGAGGACAGATATGAATAATGTACATATTTTTATCCTTCCCTTGTTGATGTTTTAATTGTTGCAGTGTATGAATAATGCTGCAGATTCACCACTGGACAGCCCACTTGAGAAAGGAAAAAACACAGCAAGTGGTTGAATTTAATCTGAATTGAACCTAAATTGGCAGAGACAGAAAAAGCTGGCCGTCTGCCTGTTGGCATCATTGTCTAAAAAGCAGAAATTACCATGAAATTAGCATGTTTCTAAGAGGACCCATAAGGCTCTCTGACCACGTCTTGGTAGGTATTATGTGTGGGGTGTACCTCAGTTCCTTGTAGCTGTCAGCTTGGCGTGGTGTGTGGACAGCCACAATCCACTGGCCTATAGGCTTTGAAGTCCCAGAGCTGTAGGATCAAACAAGGGAGATGGGGGAAGATGAATGGGTTTGCCGTCTTGGCCTGTCAGGTGGCGTAGATCAAGATGCCAGGTTCCACACAGGGGGAAAGTTAACAGCACAGAGAGGAGAAAAGTTTTTCAGGGCAGCCGAGTTAATGAACTAAGGCCCTTTTAGATCAGTGGTGGTCTACAGAGGCTTGTCTTCTATCAATAGGCAAAGCACACAACCTGTGTCTTCACAGTTGAACACATAGAACTGTTAGTGGCCTATGTGGATTCAACCCAAACAACTGAGTATCAGCCAGTTAGTGTCATTCACTTATGCCCTGAGAAAGGACCAGAGAACTCATTCAGACTGAAGTGTGTTAGCTGGGAAAACTTCCCTCACTGTGCTAAACTACCTTAAATTATTTTTGATGGAATTTTTGTTGATCACAATGGCCTAAAAATGCTGTTTTGTAATCCAGTGGGCACTTACACAACAAATAATAGAGGATAAGTACAGTATGTCAGCATTTATTGTTAAAAATAAAGTTCCAATTAATCCGTAGACAAAAAACATGCTATTGCTATTCATAAATTATTATTTTCCTTGGACATCTTGTGACCCCCTTAAATAATAATAGCAGCAATACCTGTGGATAGTTGGGTGTACAAATTGTGACTTTTTAGCTGTTTGCGCCATCTACTACCAACACTTGTGGTTGGTTTCTGACTGTACACCATGTTGGCGATCAAACCACAACCAAGTAGTTGTATTTGCCTAAAGATGATAACTATACAGTTGATAGATCGGTCATTGGAGGTACAAAGACTTTCATCAGTCATCAAAAGAAGGTCAGTCAGTATAAACTATATCATGTCTGTTCAAAGTTAAAACAAGATTTATTTAAGAGAAAACAGGACTAATAAAGTTACTAGCTCCTTCCTTCTCATCATAACCATAACCACACTTCGTGCCATGTCACACTCTGTTTCCCAGTGTGCTGTGGAGACTTTTGTCTGTCCCCAGGCTTTGGCATCAGTGCTGGCTCCTTAACCACTGCTGCCTGTTACTCCTGTATGTCTGTCCTCCAGTTTGTTATGGCGGGGCCAGGTTTGCAGGCTATAACACAGCTGATAAAGGAGCTCCAAACATCTCACTTGTCGCGTGAGAATGGCTCTCTTTGTGAAGAGAGGGGAAAGAAAGTCAGTGGCAATTCATGGACCACGTGAAGCTTTACCAGGCAGTTTATGCATGTACGCAAGTAAAAATATGATAAAATGTAGTAGGAAGATTACTCACACTTATCCATGTGAGGCTGTAGAACTGCCTGTTGGCAAAATGCTTTCTTTCTTTCTTTCTTTTTTCTTTTTCTTTCTTTCTTTCTTTCTAGGTAATAGGAGCTTCAGGTTGTTCAGAGTCTGGTCAATAATTGATGTTGTAGTGGCAGTGATGTTGTGTTTTCTGTGGCTGAGGTAAATTACAGCAGTCAGAGGTCTGGACCCCTGAAGTTAAGAGATACACTGGACACTTAAAACTCTGATGTCCTGCTGCATGCCTGTGTGTTATAGCTACACATCTGTTTAATGTCTGTGGACTACTACCAACCTCTACTCTGCAGTCTTGTTAGACCAGTCAGGGGAATTTCCCAACCTTCAACAATATTTTAGTCATTTAGTTTTTAGTTTAAACATGCCATACCAGCAGTAAAACATTAAGGACTCAGTATGCTTCAAATGGACAAGTTCTTATGAAAGTGTTGTTTGAACAGTGTTTATGTTATTGTGGCCTCCTCCTGGCTGCATCCCATTGCCTCCAGGATCACTCTCCAAGAACACTGTAGCTTTTGTGTGTCTTGTGTTTTTGTAGACATGACAGAATTAACCCTTCCTAAATCCCACCCCTTTTTGCTCTGTGCATCAGTTGAGTAAGACTCGGTCAACTTTCTCCTTTCCTGTATTTAGATATGCTATGTGCTACAGGATTTTCTGATGCTGTTAGGCAATCCAACAAGTGCTTTGTTTGAATCATACTGAGACCTTTACTGCAAACATTTTGACATATTAACTTGAAGTAATTAGATCATCTCTAAGAGCATAGATAACCTTCTTTTTCATGTTGTAGGGTTAGTAGGGACTATTTCTAGTTCCAAGATATTACAGCTTTTAGAGTTTCTGGCAATGGCAGATGGTGGATAAAGTGGAAGGTTGAACATGACATCCACAATGAGTTCCTACTCTGCGTCTTGCTTGAGGACACTTTTGACACAAGATATTTGCCTGAATCTGTCTCTCATGTTGACTTGTCCAGACTTGTGCCTTAAATACAGATCAAATTCAGATACGGCATCAGAGTAAACAGAGAGAAAGGTGCTTATAGATTTGGCAAAGACATGAGGATTTGCCACTGCATTACCAAACTCTGTGATGACTGCAGGCTGACAGAACTCTCCTTAAGACTGTTGCTCCAAGTCGAGCCATGAAATACTCAGTAAACCTTTTTGATCCTCAGACTGAAAGGAGCAGATGTGCACTTCACTTTTTTTGGCTTTGAATCCTCAGTGCAAGAATTTCTCATTTTTAGATGGTAGATAGTGGCTCAAATATTAGGCAGTTAGTGCCGTCCATTTGTGATTTGATGGATATAATTGATTGTAATATCATATTTTGATCAGATTACCACATAATATCCTGATTTTAATGTATCCAAAGGCTAAATCCAGTTTTAGAGGCTTTTAAAACCTTAAAATGAAAAAAAAAGGTTGTATATTGGAACATCCCATTGTTTTACAAGATATATATTGGAATTGCAATTTTTGGGGCTCTAATCCAGGTATATTGGATATTGGTTCAAACATTGGCTATTGGAAGCTTCGCTCCCCTCTAAATATTGGCTTTTAGCCTTCGAAACAGACCTAGAGAAACACATACAATCCAAGTATTTATATTCTCACTTTTGGTTTTAAAAAGTTGTTTGACCTCAAGTACCCCCACAGTAATCATACACTCACATAAACAGGGTGTTGGTGTGAGAGTTGGGGGGTATATATAATTCATGCTGTCTTCACACATCTTTTGAAGAGGCGAGGGGGGCTGGTAGCCATCGCGCCGGGGGGTTCCACTGCTCCATTATGGATGAAGAGATCGTCTGACAGGCCAGCACTTATTATTATGTACAGTAGATCAACCAAAGCACACTTCCACAAACACAACCATTGACAATATGTCCGTCATATATGCTAAACTGTCAGAATTGCCTTATCAACCATAACCAACGAGCCAATTTAATTGATATTCAATATGTAAATGCTTCACTCCAAACACAACATATAAGGATAAATTAGGTTTACGAAGAAATTCTGCAAGCATGTGTTTATATGCATGCATAAAGATCTGCATGTATATCTATATGGATCTGTATTGTATACGTTGTATGCATTTATTTTGTGTGTGTTGTTTTGTATGAAAGAGGGATATTTGTCCGTGGCTATGGATAAGAGATGTTCCGATACCATTTTTTCCCTCCCGATACTGATTCCGATACTTGTGCTGTGGGTATAGTACCGATTCCAATTACCGTTAGGAGCTTAACGGAGCTAACCGGAAATAGATTACTTAATTTTAATAAATGACGTGGTAATCGGATCAGTGCCTGGACTCAAGTACTCGCCGATACCGATGCGGCAATATCGGAGCAATTTCCGATAATTTCCGATACAGACAGACAAACATCAGTCCTCCAACATCCACACTTCACCCTCCTCTCTCCACATGGACTCAAATTCAAAATTTACGTCTTCTTTCTCTGTAACAAAAGCCGCTCTTCAAAGCTGCATTCAAGAAGCAGAGCAAT